TATACTATCTGCCTGGTGATTCACACTCCCCACCTGGACAATCTCATACATATATCTAAATGACAGCAGATGGCACATACAAATGCTTGTGTATGACATTGCAGCCAAACTATTCAGAGTATTCTCAAAGTATGGCAGAAGCTTATGGACAAGATTAGAGAAGTGTTGCATGAACACAGTTTACACAACAAAACCTCAAAACACGAATAAAGTGTACAGAACAAATCAAGTATACTTGATCACTCCAAAATGCAAGAGTTCCCTAAACAATGACACAGGCATTCAGACAGTGAAGAAGCTCTGTGATGTTAACACTTTCAGCCCAGTGCTGCTCATTCACCATTGCCTCGCCCAGACTACCAATGTGACCATGGTAGGGCAGTACCATCTCTCTCTCTCACATCACAGTTCTATCCTCTGTCACTGTATAGTGCAAGCAGCTACCTCTTGCAGTTTCTTGGACTACTGGTATGGAGATCATATGCTGTTAATTTTCTCACACACAAAGTATGAGAGAGTACCGGTTAACTGATTAGTAAAAGTACACTAAGATACATCAGAAATTTCTTTTTTACTTACTGAAATTACCAAGAACTGTTCAAAATGATAACCTCCACAATCAAATACACAACTCACAACGTTGTGATAGCGTTCTACAAATTGACTGGCAGGTCTAAATTTGAATTTCCCTGTTAATATGAGAGAATGTTTTAGATTAACTGAGTTTTGGGATACTCCATATTGTGAATGGTTGAGCAGATTTTAATCAGAGTCCATATTTAGGAGTTTATCTGTCACAGAACAGAGCCCAATGAATGTGAACATTCTAGAACCAGCTCCAAAGCTTAAAGAAAGAATACAAGGTCAAGAGTGTCTCAAGAAATTCAATGACACTCCTTGAAATGCAGAAGTTCTATTGTGCTGAACAAGATGATGAGATGAACATAAACTGTACGTACAAATGTGTATCGAGGTGAATGTGACCTTAATTATGGTATTACCTGAGTCACAACTTTTCTGGTTTTCGTGATGGCAGTTGTTCAGACTGGCGTGTTCTGGACTGTAACACCACGCAGCACTGTAAGTGGATGCTGACATTTTGGAGAAACAAGTAGTCCCCATCTTCATGGATCTATTTCACCATGTTCCTAGCAACCTCCCTGTACAATCTGACATCCTCACCACATTCTCTTCAATTCTGATTATGGAAGTTGGCACGTTCCTCTGAAATTTTGGCATCCAGCTACAACACACGTGGTGTCACAACCCATAGTCACAGCAAGAGCACAGTCACGACAGCAATCAATGGGCTGAGATCTGAACATACGATCATCCTTGCAGCTCCACTGTTTGACCTCTTAACTTATCTGTTATTTGCAATAATTTTTCCACACAGGTTCCCACCTTTACAGGGAAACAAAATTTGAGCATCAGATAAAGTTCACATCAACATAGCAATCAACAAACCTATGACAATAGTTACATGAAAGCTGTGGCATGGAAACAGATCAGAAAGGTGTTGTTTTCTATTAAAATATATTTACTCATTTCTTAAGAAATTCAGTGACTCCATTAACAATATATAACAATGTAATGTGGGCAGTCTTACGCTCCATCTACTGTGCGAACAAAGGTGCATCATCAGCGGCGTAGACAATTATATCATCGTAACAAAGTCATTAGATTCTACTTTCAACATACTTCCAGTATTCACATGCCAGAAGGAAATTCAGATGTAGTAACACAGGACTGTTCTTCCATAAGGCCGTCTACACAAGCTACAACATACCCTGGTTCACAGAGATGAGCTTCACCACTGCACTGACTTACAGCTTCTCTATCAATATGGAAGATGCCCCACCTCCACCATTGCAGATGGCAGCAACGCCCAGCTGCCCAGGCTTTAGGGCATGCATCAAATGCAGAACAATGCGTGCCCCAGACATCCTGCAATCGAACATGAAAATGAACAATTCCCAAATTTATCCTTCTCTTTCAGAATAAACACGGATGCAACTAAATACTGTGTTCAATGAGACCCCTGGTATGACAAGTTTGATTCCCATCACATGCTGAAAACAGACTCCAGTATCTTTCTAATGACAACATAATGACCTACATCATTATCTGATGATAATACAGCCTCAAGGCTGTTCTAGACACAGTATACAGAAAATTTTTCTTATCATCATTTCAAAAACTGTTTACCATACCAGCTAATTTCCAGAACACTAAAGATCATAACACTGAGATCAATAAGTTGACCAGCTGTTCTGTATGGTTAAGCCTGGTGCCTTACTCTGAAGGAGCACAAATTACAAGTGTCCGAAGCAGAAAAGTTTGGGGCTATGTGAGAAACATGACACAGCTGAACAATTTGTTGCAATCTATTATCAGGCCCTTCATGATTTGTGCAAGTCACACAGTAGTCAGGATGGTGAAATCAAGATGTTAGGAAGGGATGGTCATCAGCTCAGAAGGGGGAGATGATCCTGAGAGTAAATTTGTAAGAACAATCTCAGAAAAATAAAGTGTGGGGATCAGACTATTAAGGAAACCCCACATAATGCACGACTGTAGTTGTGAGTACCAACTCACCCTATGGGGTGCCCCAAGCTCACCGCTCCCCCATGGACATTTGTCTTCTTTACATCAATATCCAAAGACTTCAAGAATGCCAACATGACAACACTGAATGCCTCATTCACTTCCCATAGTGCCACATCATCTTTCTTCAAGCCAAAGGTGCCCAGTAGCTGTAACATACGTCAAAGCAGATAAACAGTGTTAACATTAAAATGCACAAGTTTAAAACTCAGATATCACCAATTGAAAATCCAATACTGGAGCTGGTCCTCTGCCAGTTCATTCCAATTTTCATTACCAAATACTACTTATGCAACAATGACTTTAAACATATCAACCCATATCATAGACAAAATCAAAATTCTGTATGTATTTCTTATTTGTGCTGTACCCTCTCCCAATAACAATACCAGGAGAGAATCAATCACAAAGTTCTGCAACTGTAAGACAAAGAAACACACAACAGGAAACATGCTCACCGACTCTTATTCTCACCTTGGGTACTGCGAGCACTGGGGCAAGAGGGAAGTCAATGGGCTCTGTGGCCGCATCCTGGAAGCCCACAACACGAGCTAGAGGCCTACAGCCGAGTCGTTCAGCCGCCTGTGATGTCATCAGCACCAGAGCTGCTGCGGCATCATTCAGAGCGGAAGCATTGCCTGCTGTAACAGTTCCATTCTCCTTCTGTGAAGCACACAAAGAGGTTACTGTCTGATGGGGTCAGCACTGACTCAGTGACTTACCAGTCTCTAGAGGTCTGTAAAACACTTGAAAAACTTTGTCAGATCGATGCCTTGCAGTAACTGAGATAAAAACATCAGTGACTTAACATGTCATGACTAACAAGGGTGGCCATTCACATCACAAACAGGAGACACTCACTTGGAACACAGTGGAGAGTTTCTTGAATTTGTCAAAGCTGACTCGTTTGTACTCTTCATCCTCGACTACCACAACATCAGGCTTGCCTGCATCACAATCCAGACAGACACATGTTACACTACTGACAGCAGCTAACCCC